GCTGCCTGCTCCAGGAATAGGGAGTCAGCTGGTACTCAGAACTTTGGAAAACCAGGCTTTTTTATAGGACTCTAAAAAGGGATTTAAGAACCTAATTTTAGGCTCCTATTTTTGAATATCTTGAACCGGTGCTGTTCAACATACTCATTAGTGATCTAAAAGAGGAAGTGAACAGCGAGGTGGCAAAGTGTGCAGATGATACAAAATTATTCAATATACACCGCTACCTCGATATAACGTGACCCGATATAACACGAATTCGGATATAACGCAGTAAAGCAGTGCTCCGGGGAGGGCGGGGCTGCGCACTCCGGTGGATCAAAGCAAGTTCAATATAATGCGGTTTCACCTATAATGCGGTAAGATTTTTGGGCTCCCGAGGACAGCGTTATATCGAGGTAGAGGTGTAGTTAAGTCCAAAGCTGACTGTGAGGAGTTATAGGAGGATCTCACAAAACTGGGTGCTTGAGTAATAAAATGGCTGGTGACATTCAATGTTGATACATGCAAAGTAATGCACATTGGAAAGCATAATCTCAACTATACATATAAAATGGCAGGGTTTAAATTAGCCGTTACCACTCAAGAAAGAGATCCTATCCTATCTCCTAGAACTGGAAGGGACCTTGAAAGGTCATCGAGTCCAGCCCCCTGCCTTCACTAGCAGGACCAAGTACTGATTTTGCCCCAGATCCCTAAGTGGCCCCTTCAAGGATTGAACTCACAACCCTGGGTTTAGCAGGCCAATGCTCAAACCACTGAGCTAGCCCTCTCTTGGAGTCATTATAGGTGGTTCTCTGAAAACTTCAGCTGAATGCACAGCAGCAGTCAAAAAGGCTAACCAAATGTTAAGGACTATTAGGAAAGGGATAGAAAATAAATCAGAAAATATCATACTGCCACTATATAAATCCATCGTACGCTCACACCTTGAATACTGTGTCCAGTTCTTGTTGCCTCCTCTCAAAAAGGATATAGGAGAACTGGAAAAGGTTCAGAGAAAGGCAACAAAGATGATCAAGGGCATGGAATGGCTTCCGTATGAGGAGAGACTAAAAAAAGATTAGGGCTGTTCATCTTAGAAAAGAGATGCTAAGTGGGGGGGGGGAGATATGATAGAGGTCTATAAAATCATGAAGGGTGTGGAAAAAGTGAATGAAGAAGTGTTATTTACCCTTTCCCACCATTAATAGGTAACAGATTTAATACAAACAAGAGGAAGTACTTCTTCACCCCACGCGCAATTAACCTGGGGAATTTATTGCCATTGGATGTTATGATGGCCAAAAATATAACAGGGTTCAGAAAAGAACTAGATACGTTTATACAGGATATCTCCATCAATTACTGTTAGCCAAGATGGCCAGAGATGCAACCTCCTGCTCCAGGTGACCCTAAACCCCTGATCACTCCACTGGCCCTGCTCTGTACACTTCCCTTGAAGCTCTGGTACTGGCCACTGTCAGAGACGGACCAGTGGTCTGACCCAGTACAGCAGTTCTTATAAACAGTTTCATGAAAACACGATCCTTTATTATCCTCCTCCTAGAGACTGCAATGGTATTGTGTTTGTGACAATGTTTTTCATACTGATAGACAGTCATAAATTAATCATTTAATCACTCAACTTCTTCAGCAGAAAATCATTATTGGATTCCATACACTGATCAGCCAGAGTTAGCTAATCAGTTTCATCTCCCAGTTTACTGTAATATTTTTTTCATCTTGCACACAGAACTAGCTATTTTTCTTGTTGTACTATCAAATCTAATTTTGAATCGAGACGGTTCACACATGTCTTGCAGTCAGAAAGAAAAATTACATCAGTCTGAAAATGTTAGACTGACTACTGGTGCCAGTTTAAAAAAAAAAAAAAAAGAGAGAGAGAGAGAGAAATGACTTAAGAAACAAACAAATTTTTCAGGAAACAATCCCTACAGGAACCCAAAACCAGATACACACTGTATGTTGCCAAAGGTTTCATATATAAAAAACATCTGGTGCGGCCAATATCCTGCTGTTTGTGCATTTTTTTCAAGTTCTGAAATTAGCAAGGTCTTGGGATTGACAAAGCAAAAATGAAAGGACAACACCAGGCAATCCATCTGCGATGCTGCTTAGTAAATATCTATCAACACGACATGCCATTTTTAATTTCCATGGGCCAGTATTTCTTCTAGCAAGGGTTCTTTTTTCCTCCAGTTCAGTCCTTATACCAACCCAGTAGAAGTCTGATTCTCTCACCCACTCCACCAGTTTTATGCAAGCAGAGTTCCATACTGGCATGCAATGGGTGTCATAGAATGGAGACTGAGGCCCTTGATCTCTGACTGTGTCCAACCATGCCATCTTAAGGCACAGAGAACTCTCACTGAGTTCACTGGGAGCTGGAGGTGTATAAAGCCTACAGCCTCTCTGGGTGGGTCACACATTTTCGATCTCGGGGTGAGCGGCTGGTATACTGCAGTTGTGGTGGTGGGGGGTGGTGGGAAAGACGACTACAGGCTCCTATGTGTACACATCTCGTTTGGTAGCCACGAAGGAGTTTTTCAAAGGCACAAAGCAGTCAGATGTCCAATTCCCATGGAAAGTCAAGGTGAGTAATTCCCACTTGTAAAAATCTCCCCCTCTAGCTCTATCTCCATCTCCCAGTGCAAAGGATCTTTAACCTTTGACATCTAATGGTATCTGAAGCAGCAGGGAGCAACCTAAACTTCCAAGCTCTTTCAGGAGAATGTTTGATATATAGAGCCAGCAACTTTTAGCTCATGCAAATAGCCCTTGCTCATCTTCTGAATAAGGACTGAAGGTTGAACCATAAATAGTGCATTCTCCTGGCTCTATTATTTAATTTGGACAGAGCTGTAGGATGTCTATGTGGATGCGTAATGGATTGTGCAAACGTCACATACTGAATCAAACAGAGGAAGCATAAAGCTGTCGCTTCAAGACTGCACAATGAAATAAACACAGAGGGCCCAATTTACCATTATGTTACTCCAGTTCTGCTACAGTGTGATTCCACTGATCGCAATGCAGTTATGCTGACGTAAATCCAGAATATCACACTGGGGAATCAGGGCTATAACTTCCATTATTTTTTGACATGAGCTGCATTTATCATCCCAAACCAACAGGCTACGATTTCCCCACCAAAGATCTGGTAATAACTGTACAGTGGGTACATTCTTATCTCAGTGCACAGAGAGTCAGCGATGCATATAACTCCTAATACAACTAGTGGGAGATTTGGGCATAACTCACAAGGTGGAAGTGTTTCTTTACAGAAAGTGGTGATCGTCCATATCTGATCTTCTCACCCACCGCTACATTTATTGATCTTTATGTGCATTTAGCTCAGCGCATCAGGGAAACCTCCACTGCTGTTTATGAAATGCTAAAGTCAACCCAATAACCTATTTCATCCAAGAGGAGACCTGCTGGCAGCAGCCTTTGTGATGGGGACAATGGTAAACTTCATTAAGGGCCATGACACTTGTTTATTTGAATTAAACAGGTGTTTTTGCAGGTGTCATGCTGACATCTGCCAGTGCTACCCTTGAAGGCTTCCTGCCATGTCAATCAGCAGTGAGCAATAACCCAATAGTGCTTTTATTTCCTCTCCTCGAGATACATTCGCATGCTTTGCCTGACACATCAGCAATCCAAATTAATTACCGGGGCACGGACTTGATTAGTTACAACACATCAATGGCCTCTCGGGTGGCTGCTGAACCTACAAACATGTACCTGTGCTGTTCTAATGAAATTCAATCCCGCTCAGCCTAGCGTCCTTCTGCTTTGCACCCAGGACTCTGAAATCTGTTTGCCACTCGGTAGCTCGTGCCAGATTTCTCCGGTAAGAGCATTTCCTTCCAAAGGAGCAGGAAAGGCTGGCTTGGGAATCCGGCGGCAGAGCCATGCACTGTATTTGCGAGAGCTCTGAGTTTGGATCTTAAGGCTGGGCCCATGCTCCCAAATGCCACTAGCCGGCTGTGCTTGAGGAGCAGGGTACTAAGCCCTTGCAGGAAGGAGCACCTCATGTTCCTGGCAGGTGCAGGAAACTGACTGCATGGGTTCCACATTCAGCCCTCCAGGAAGGAAGATCATTTGCAATACAGCAGCTTTAAGGGAGGGAGAGTGAAGAGAGGCAGAACATGGTAGGGCCTTTGAGGGTTCTGAGCACAGTGCCTACCAGGGTGTGTGAGATGCAGAGAAGGGTGCACATGGGGCTGCATCCTGTGTAGGGGGCATAACCCGGGTTCCCCTTCCTTGATCCCCTTGGCGTGTCTGGGCTCCCTGAGTGCAAACTATGTAAATCTGCTTGGGCTTTACATGGGCTGTGCGAGGTAGATCAGGCTCCTTATTCCCTCTGCGCCCTGAGTAAGGGGAAAAAAAATCCCCATTATCTTCATTTGCACGATGCAAAACTGAAATGAGACAATGAGCAATGAGATGCCTGACCTGAGCCAGCAACACCTCCCCATCCCGAATCCGTTCGGTTTCTCACTGCGCTGCTAAAGGGGCACTGGGACAGCCCCTGTCTTTTCACTTCTGCTCCAGCTGCCACCCCAAGATCAATTAGCCATTTGCTAAACCAGTGAGTCCATTTAAACTGCACTGCACCTGAAATCTAAAGGCTCTCGCTAGGATGTCCCTCTGCCAATAAGGGAGGCAATTGTGTGGCTCTTGTTTTAGTGGGTGAAGATGTGGAAACGTTAAGCTATGAAGGATGCTCCATGTTTAATTAAAAACAAAAAAACCCGACCAAAATGCATCCTGCTGAGAGGGAACATTCCTGCTGTTCCAAGGCTGCAATAATTATTCTGTGAAATGGTGTGTGTGTGTGTGGGCGGGGGGGGAACACAACAACCGCCTGCATAGGAAAGGATTCAAGGCCCAGTCTTGCTACTTCCACTTATTTCAATGGGCGTTCCACCCCACAGAATGGCCAGGGCCCCCCACCCCAGAATCTTAGCCCCTTTTGAAGTTCCACTTACCTGCCTGATTTGTGGTTACATTTACAGACACATACTGCCGCGCTGCAGGGCTCTGGTCGGACACTCCGTTCACTGCCTCAATTTCAAAGGTATAGTTTGTATGAGCAAGCAGGTCCACCATCATGACAGAGGTGTTTTTCAGGCCGATTTGCTGGGGGAGGTACCTGACATGACTGCCACACGCCTCACACAGCCCCGAGTGGGAGCTGCACTTCTTGCATGCAATATAATAAGACACATCTTTCCTTCCACCGGTGTCAGCCGGGGGAATCCATTCCAGGAAGACACTAGTCTCGTTAACATTTGAGATGGCATTCCGAGGAGCTGAGGGGGGTCCTGGTTTGTAAAGTAAAGTGAGAAAAACACAGGGTGAAAATAGCATTCTCGTCCATCCTGCTCTGTGCTACTCTCTAGGCTGAAAGGAGGGGCTGCACTGTTCGCGTGCCATGGAGCACACAGAGCCAATGCACAGCAGCAGCTGAAGGACTGGCAGGGCAATGGGGGGGGGTCACTCTTAGCTGTCCCTCCTCGCTTCGAAGTGTGCGTGTTGGGACCCACCCACCCATCTGATCCAGGAACACAGGGAGGAGTATCCTACCAAGCGTGTTCCCTTGGATGTGCTCCAAGCCCCTGCCAGCCAAGAGAGCAAAGGAGCAGGCATCAAGGCTGAAATCCTGGTCCCATTGAAGTCAATGAGGGTTTTGCCATTGATTTCAGTGGGGTCAAGGTTTCACCCTAAAGGTACGTCTGCACGGCAGCTGGGAGCTGGAATTCCCAGCTCGGGGAGAGACAGACCCACTGGCTCTGCTTGATGAGCATGCTAAATATAGCAGTGGGGTGGCGATAGCACGGGAAGTGGCTCAGACTAGCTGCCTGAATGCAGACCTCGGACGGGCTTGTACTTGGGCGGCTAGCCCGTTGCGCTGTCCGCGTCTCCATGTGCACGCTAGCTCCATCAAAGCCAGCACACGTACGTCAAGCCGAGCTGTGAAGAACACGCCCAGCTGCGGTGTAGACATACCCTTTGTGGCTCTAGCTCCAGATCCTGGAGAATAACACGTACCGAAGAAATATCCGACACCGATTTGTAAGTGATATTACTGCGTCCATGTACTAAACAGCAGCCTTTTCCTCTGCCTCGACAAAGCGTTGCATGTTAAGATGTTTGAATGGCTACTCTCCGGTTTCTTATTTTGCGGAGTGTCCATGCTTCGGATGTCTGCCCAGCCCGGGGAAGGGTGCTGAAGCAGCTTTTCACAGCTCCCATAAGAATGGTACTTCTTTGCCATGGGCCACATCAGACATGCAAGCCAAGATTTTCAAAAGTGACAAATGATTTTGGATGCCTCCATTTTTGGGTGTCCGGCTTGAGACACCCTCAGAGATGCTGATTGGTAGGAAGTGCTGGGCATGTGCCCTCTGAAAATCAGACCCCTTTCAGGGGGATCAAGTGGGACATCTGAAAATTGAGGCATCCCAAATCCCTAGGTACTTATGAAAATCTTGGCTACACTCTCTGGTGGAACTCCCAGTGAAGTCAATGGGACTGTCACACATGGGCTCAGGGCAATGCATGAATCGCAGGACATATGGCCCTTTTCTGGCCAGGTTATAACAATCGCAAGATCAAATTTTCTTTTTCAAATCCTATTAATCTCTCTGAGTTGTCAACAGATAATGATTTTGGAGGGGAAAAAATACCAGCCAAACCGTGTTTTAGGAAATATTTTTGTATAAATTCGCCTTGGAGACTGAGGACAAAATTCTCCTCTGATGTGATGTGAAAGGATAATTTTGTACAGAAGGATGGCAGTAGCATACAACATGTTGGGGATCTTCACAACGGATCTGCACATTGCACCTTGGCTGCACTGTGATGCAGGAGGAAGAAAGGGACATTTATTAAAGAGTTTCGCTGGTTTTGAGTCATGGTGTCACTGGGATTTTCAAAAGCCTAAGGGAGTTAGGCACCTAACTCCCATTCAGTCTGAATGGAAACTCGGTGCAAAATTCCGGTAGGTGCTAAAATCCGTGAATACCTCCTTGAAAGCCAGCTCCAACGTGCCTCCTC